CAGGCATCTATGCATTAAAATCTCGTTGGGAAAAGTGTATTGAAACAAATGGAGCATATTTTGATTAAATAAACAGCTTTTGAAAAAAGATATGCAGTTTTATATATTCACTTAAAAATCCGACATTTCATATGCACCAACCTAATATTTATGACGTCTTTACAATATGTCACTTAATGACATCGAATAAATGGCCGATTGTCAACGTAACATTATTAGCGATCAATTAATAACATCATGCATTTATTCCGTTAATAACACGAAACTAATGATGTATTTTTGATGTCAGCTTATGACGTAAGTAATAAGAATTGTGTGAGTAATAAGAAATATAAGAATTCACGTCATTTTTACTTGTTTAGACGTCAAGGAGCTTATTATGGTTCTAAAAATACAGTAGACATTACAAAAGTAATTGAATTTAGTAGAATATTTATAACTTCAACGCCTAACAAATTTAATCATTTTTGTAATTTTCACTTCGTCTTAGGAATCATATAGATTCATCATAAGTACAACTAAATTAATGACGCCAAATGGACATCACCTTGATAACCTACCGTTAATAACACAAAAAAAATAACGTATATTTGATGTCGATTTATAATGTTATGTACCTGTGACAAATCCACATTTTTTGGATGTTTTGGACGTCAATTTAAACGTCACATTTGTCATAAGAATGATTAATTAATGACGTCAAATAGACGACACCTTGCTGGGTTAGTTAGTAGTATAGAATACATAAGTTAATTACGCATAATGATGTAAGTACTAATTTAATGTTAGAATTGTTATGTTCTTTGTAATACTTTAATCGACTTTAACTCTTTATAAAATGTATTTATAAATAATTTATTTGTAAAAAAAGATAATATACAATAGTTTATTTGCTCTTAATACTTGTTTTTTTTTACTATTCATAATCTTTTTATTTTTTTTAATTTTATTTAGAAGACATTTAGGTTTTTCTATTAAAAATAATAGTGTTTATAGAAATTTCGTTCACTGTATTACTTACAACGGCCTTTAAGGAAACAAAACTGGACAAAATTTTTTTATCTCCTTTTTGTGTTTTTTTCCTTCTTAGCACTATTAATCTCAATTTAATAACCGTAGATACTTATAAGTCTTAAATAATTTTTAATGTAGTTAATTTATGATTATTGTAACAAAGATTGATAATATTATCTCTTTCAATAAAAATAACATGGGGATAAAACATTCAAAATAACCGGGAATATAGGTAATAGTTAATTTTAAGAATATTTTAAGAATATGGTATTCCAAAATAAATATATTCCCAGACTATATTTATGATAAATATTCATAAATATGTGTTACAACTTATTTTTTTGAAATGATACATAAATATTTTACATATTTACTTTTTTAAGTTATATTTTCGAAATATTATTAAAATATGGACTAAACACTTTATATAATATTAATGACAAATATAAATAATTGAATACATATATAGACATGAGGAAAGTCCTTAATATGACATAAGCTCCTAATGTAAAATATCAGAATTTCGATTAAACTAATAGACGTCAATATTTGTGAAATTGGATGCAAGAACGTCTATATCGCATTAGGAATCTATAGGGGATTTTACTTTATTTTATAAATAAAAAAATATACTCACAAAGAATATATACTCAGAAATATACTCACAAATTGTGTGCGTACGTGCGTGCGTGTGTGTCGTGTATGCGCGCGCGCGTGTGTGTGTACGTAAAAATCTTTTTATTAATTTGTATTGGATAAATATTGATAAATAAATTTGATACAAGGGACATATGTCATCAATGTCGAGACTTTGAGTAACTTTAACAAGTTTAAACCGTCACTGATTGTTTGTTAAAAAGTTATTAACGAAAGAAGAAAGTTTATAAAAATTACCTTTTTTATCACACAAGATAAAAATTTTCCACTTTAAAATATATTTTAGAAGAGGCAAGCATATAACATAGTATGAGATTTATTTGTATATTTAAAAGTAGATCGAAAATCATGTGCCGCTAGACAAAGAGTCCTGTTGGAGGTCACTCAGGGTCATGACAGCGACAATATATGTTATGGTTAAGATTATTGGAATCTAATCTCCTAATCGGTACTTTTACCAACGTAATTCGTGATTTCTATTTTTACAATTAGTGCAGTTTGTAATAATGTAATTAATTTCTCGTTTTCGTATACTTAGTAATATTATAAAAAAAAATTGAGCGTAATTTTGGAATTATTAGTCAATTAAAGAAACATTTCACTTTTTTATTAATTTCTATCCCATTTAATAGACCTTAATCATTACAGATATTATAATAAGATATACAATTCTCCAACTTCCTAAATTTATTTTACAATAGTGACTAATTGACGTGTACATGACATTCATTCTTAAAAGTTTGAAGTTGCCAAATTTTTAATTTTATAATAAAATAATTTTATCTAACCCTTCCCCGCCCCATTTATATGTAGTATATTATATAAAATAAGCCAGTAAAGTTTGAGCTTTGATTGAGCTAATATTAGCTTCTTATTCGAATAATATTTGAATTTTCGTTTTGAACATTACAGGATTACAAGTATCTTAATGATTAATTTTTTTTATATATGATGATCGTGTCGCTGTTCCTCACATCAGATACCAGTGAATGCAAGATTCGTATCAATGGAAAGTCGAATTTTCGAAAGTCGTTATTTTCGTCGTGGAAAATTATTCTTCATTGCCTTCTATGAAATCCATTTGCGCAGTAATTGGCGCTTTTAGAAATTCTTGTTACAGGATCGTAATTAATCTCAGGTTTCTAGTTCTCGGAAATAATAATTTTTTCAAGGAATTATATGATAATTGCTGTATATTTTATAATTAAATAGCAAATTAATTCGGTGACATATTTTAGAATACAATTTTCGTCGCTTTCTCTTATAATTAAGTCTACATTTTCGACTGTATTATTAAGAAAGATTACAGCAGTTTTACGACGTACAGTAAGTAGATGATTATTCGTAAAGAAAGTTTACACTGTCAAGGACCAAACCAAGGATCGAAACGTTTGTGAATGGTATGGATTATTAACATATAATAAAGTATACGCATGTATACTTTCTGTATCGGCTAATATTAGCATGTTTCAACTTTTATTTTATCGCTTTTTTAATTTTACTAAATGTTCTCTTATTAGTAATAATGCTAGTAACAGCACTGTCTTAATGAAAATAAGACTTTAGTATTATATGATAAATATATTATAGATATAATGAGAGAGAGAGAGAGAGAGAGAAAGAGATTATTTTAAATCGAAATTATTAAATAAATAAATTCAAATTTTGTACAAATTGTTTGCTTCTTTTTATGAATAGTTTAACAAAAATGCCGTAACAAATGCGTACATATAATTCTCTAACTTGTTTTAAAAATCATTTTCAAGTATTGAGTATCTCCATTCAGGATATTAATTAATTTTGTAATAGCAAGTTATACATATATATATTAGGTGTTGGAATTAATTCGTAGCGTTTTACAAGTGATGGGAAGTACTTTCATTAATGTATTTTTTAATGCTCATGTGAAATAAATAACATTCTTTCATTTAAAAACGCTACGAATTAATTCCAACACCTAATATATATATGTATAACTTGCTATTACAAAATTAATTAATATCCTGAATGGAGATACTCAATACTTGAAAATGATTTTTAAAACAAGTTAGAGAATTATATGTACGCATTTGTTACGGCATTTTTGTTAAACTATTCATAAAAGGATCATCTCAAACAGTTGATATCCGAGACACTTTTGTATTCATACATATAAAAAATTATAATGACGCACATATCTTATTATTATTAAATATAGGTACTTCTTCGTAACCACTACACTATAAAAAAAATCATTCATTTTTAATAAAAGATGATTTTTAGTAATGTGTTAGAACAGTGCTGGGATTTATTTGTACATTTCGATCAATTTTTAGTTTGGTTCCTATCCCTTATTTCTCCAACCCGCTGATCAGCATTTAGGCTGCGCGCGGATTAATGAAGTAAGGGACAGGAACTAAACTGAAAATCTGCCGAAATGTGCAAGTAAATCCCAGCACTGCGCTAGGACATATTTTCACATATGCAAATTTAAATATTACTTTAAAGATGCGATGAAAATAACTGTAATTAATATCCAAAATTATTACTATTATAAGCGGTCTAAGATTTGGAATTCATATTACCCTCCTATAAAAAGAAAGACAGTTAGTGTTTGACGGATAACTTAACTTTTCTTTGAGGATAGATTTTCATGAATTTTACATGGAATCAGTACACATTGAATTCCTTTTCCATTATAAAAATTATTCTTTTTTGGTATCAGACACTTACAACAAAATGAAGGTATAATTATTAAATTTCATTAGATGAATTTTAATAAATTTTATAATTGCAAGTAACAATTAAAAGTAAATATGATTTATTTATTATTGATATTTCATTCTCTCAATACTGCAGTAACGATTAGTTCAATAAAATGTGTATTAGGTGTGGGAAAAAGTTGGCGGTTTTTTAGTAAAATTCAAATGTTTTTCTTAGAGTATTAAAATCAATTTATTTAAACCAAATATGCTCCATTATTTTCAATAATATTTTGCCATTTTTGGGGCAGAGCCATAATCCCATCGCAATAGTACTTCTGTAGTTTCTAGTCGAAAAACTGCTTCAAGTGATTTTCACAGTCCTCTTTTGAAGTCAGCTTTACATCATTAAGAGAGTTCTGCAGAGATCTAAACACATGATAGTCTGAGGGTGCTATGTCAGGACTATACGGTGGATGCATTAAAAGACCCCAGCCAAGCTCTCGCAATTTTTGCCGAGTTATCAAAAATGTGTGTGGTCGAGCGTTGTCGTGATGGAAGATGACACCCCTCCTATTGATTAATTCTGGCCGCTTTCTCTCAATTGCTTGTTGTAATATTTCCAGTTATTCACAGTAGAGTTCGGAATTAATTGTTTGATCGATAACAGCTCATGAACGATTCCCTTCCAACACACAACATCACTTTCTTCGTCGTCAATCCAGGTTTTGCGATTGCTTGTGCCTTCTCTCCTTCCTTTATCCACGATCTTTTGCGAGTTCGATTGTCGTACGTGATCCATTTTTCATCACCAGTTATCATTCTCTTCAAAAATGGCTCAATTTCATTCCGTTTCAATAGCGTATCACAAATGTTAATTCGATCTATCATGTTCTTAACACTCAACTCGCGAGGAACCCAAACATTGAGCTTCTTTTTGTATCCAGTTTTGTGTAAATGATTTAAAACTGTTTTGTCGATGCCTAGTTCCCTGGCAATCTCCACATGCTTATCATGTTCGACTTTTTCTATGATTTCATCGGACTTTTCAGTAATTGGTCGACCGGAGCGAAGTTCATCTTTCACATCGAAATTTTCAGTACAAAAACGTGCGAACCATTTCCGTGCTGCTGATTTTGATAGAGATAGATTGTGAGAGATCTTCATCGTAAATAGCACAATTTTTTCACAAGCCTGTGCAGCGTTCTTGCCTTTATCGTCGTAATATTGCAAAATGTAGCGAATTTTTTCCTTATTTATTTCCATTTTCAAAATAAAATAACTTTTGATCGACTTCATCGATTTCAATCTTTTTTGGCTCAAAACAAAGGTTGAAATGTCATTTTTTAAATGCACGTCTAGTGTTGTCAATGCGGTTAGTAGTTACCGACTACTGAGCATTTAATGCCATCTAGTGGAAAAAACGCTACGAACTTTTTCCCACACCCAATATATTGTACAATATATTTTCAATCCTTTCGTATAATTCTGTATTATTAATTTTTTAATTATGCTACTATGTAATATCATTTCTATTTTATTTTGAATGGTATTTATAGTTGTATGAATAACTTCCTTGTTTAAAAACAAAACGTACCAGAATTACTCGTTAATTGAATAATTTTTCCTCGTTATCTATATATGCAGAATATATCTTGTTGATCAAACATGTCTTTCTGTTAGTTATTGGGGCATTTCGTTTTTTTTTTTTGTATAATGCACTGTTTTTCCTTGTTGTTCATCGAATGTAAAGAAGGATAAATGATGCATCATGCGCATCATGCACTCATAATCTATGAGATACTTACAAAGTAATATATGTAACACAGAGAAATTCAAAATAATTCTATTGCTATAACTTTTAAAATTTCTATACATTTCTCTCAAAATTATATTGACGACGGAAAGAGAAGACGTTTTCTCATTAGCCATGGTACATATCATGTTGTTCCAATTCACTAGAAGAAGCAACACGACGACATAAAGCAATACAGCATATTCGCATGACTTATGTCGATTGACACAATAACTGGACTACTATAGTGCGCTGAGATTTAATTAATCATGATTCTGATGCATTTTTCTAAGAATGTTAAATCCAACCAAACTGAAACATATTAAACAAATCCTTATAGTGTAATAAATAATATAATACTTATAATATAATTCTAGTTCTAGTTGTAAAATCTTGAATTTTGTCATAACAATTAGAAATACTTTCTGATTATTATGACGAGATCTAAGATGTCGAGTTTTAAATACAATGTATTTAATTATATACGCACGCACGCCTTATTCATCAAACCATAACCAAACAAAATTTCTCATGCATTATTACGAGAATAGGAAATCTGTTATATACCCTCGTAAGAATTATTGTAGCCGACAAAACTGTAGAATACATCTGAAAAAAAGTATGCTGCCATTATATTGTATTTAATGGAAACAGTTTTATTAACCTTTTTGCTCAGAAAGCGGTCCACCGGAATACCTCCACTGATCGGAACCCTATACCAAAAGTGTGTACATCATAAATTGACAGTTTTTGACATTTAAAATTACGTTTTACGCCTGAACAACGCCACCTTGACATGTTTAAAAAAAAAGGAATTATTCCTTAAAACAAAATGATTATAATTTCTTCGTAAACCGTGTTTTAATTATTCTCTTCATGCCAGTGGCATTATAGCCATCAATATACTACTACTACTAATTATGTTTAAATATATATCATTTGACAAAATCAGTGTTACACTTGATTGTATACGGTTGTACGAGATGATTTGGCATAACTCTTATTATAAGGAACAGAATAAATTACTTTGCGAATGCTGGCAATAGCAGCGTTCGTCTATACGGATCGCTTTGTGAATGCCGGACATAGCCGGCAATTATGAGCAAAAGGGTTAAATTCAAACGAATTATTTGTAAAAAATCTTAATTATTTGTAAGAATACGTCCTATTTTACATATACGCATTTATTTTATTATATACAGAATGGGGCAATAACTTAGAATGTTAGAGATATGAAATAATATATTCGTTGAAGTTGTATAGAATCAAGAGGGATACAACATACTGGTAATAGTTTTTCTATGAGTACGGGCGTTTCGAAGATTTCAAGATTAACTCTACTTTTTTAAATGGAATTGTATGATTTTTTTTACACAATATGCTTCCTTTAATTATTCTGCATATAAAACTATTAAAGTAGTAGTATCAAAAAGCCAATCGTTTAGGAGATATTTTCTACTTTATTCTGGCACATACGTATGAAATAACTTGTAAATTATTAATTTTTTGTAATCCTTTGTAATAATTTTATGAACAGAATTTTATTTGTAATAATTTTATGAACAGAATAATGAGATAAATCAATTGAAAAAGAAAAAATACATAGTTGCTTATTTAAAAAATTATCCTTTTCACATACATATTTTTTTTTATGCAACTATGTTTCTTTCCACCAATTTATTCATATCAATACTCTGTTCATAAAAGTATTAAGGTTATAAAAAATTATTATAAAATTATATTAATGATTATAAAAATTTAATTGTTTATATTATAAGTTATTAAATATTTTACGTCAACATTATGCCAGAATAAAGTATAAAAAATGTCTCGTAAACTATTGATTTCTTGATATATCTTAGTACTTTTACATGCAGAATATTTAGAGGTATTATATTGTGTAAAAAAATTATACAATTCCATTAAAAAAGTGAAGGTGACTATGAAATCATCGAAACGCCTCCATCCATAAAAAAACTGTTAGCAGTATATTATACCCTCTTGATGCTATACAACTTCAATAAATATATGTGTATTACTACGTATTTTTAAAAATAGCAGTAAATATTTTAAGTGGACAGAGTTACTACCTCACCCTGTACATATATATGCATATACGTTTATTACATACTTTTATACTTTTATTTAAAAGAGGACATACCTCGCAGATAAAATTATATTCAAAATAGTAATGTCCCAAGCCAAATTTTACTTTTGTCTGCTTTATTTGCAATATAAAGTGTAAAATCTAATTGAAATAAATAATTTAATAAGCGTTAAATATATACCAACATTATTAACAGTTCAGATTCTTGCATAAATTATATTAAACGGATAAATAAACTTAAGACATTATTATAAAACATCAATTATATTTGTCGCAGATATCAAAGAGCAACTTTATCCCTTACGTTTAATGATATTCCATTATTTTTAACTTCAATATGTGCCAAAATTAATCTATTTTTTAGTTTAAAAGTATAGCGTATATATTAATGTATGAACATAGCAAGTGATAAAGTAATAAGTAATGAATTAAATTTGAGTCAAATTTAATCAATACATTTTCAAGAGTTAAGTTATTTAACTATAATATTTTAGTTTAATTAACGACATATTGTATAGAAGCAAGGCCGACATATAGAAATTATTAAAAAATAAATAACTCAAAATGGTTATAATACAACATTACGAATTTAAAATTAAAATATTGTTCCTTTTTATATGTATATTTGTACATATCAACGCCAATTACAAAATCTTTGTCAATTATTTTCAATTTTATATGCCAAAATGCATTGAGCACATTTTGCAGAATATTTATTAGCGTGATAGTAAAATGTAGATATAATAATAGAATTGACAGTATGATAGTTTGATAGTAGAATATTGACAGTATGAAATAACTTTCAATAATTCACTTTTGTTATATAAAATAAAAAATAATTTTTAAAACTTTTTCTAGCTTATTTGTGGAATGTGTGTACAAGTATTCTAAAATATATAAAAGAATAACACAATTGTTATGTAATGTCCCAATTTTGTACACAATTATTCGATGAAATTTAGGTACGTGTCCGAATTTTGAGAGCTAGTACAATTACGCATTTAAAACAGTTAAAATTCAATATAAAATTTTGTTGTAATTATTTACCTGTTTACGTAAATCTTCATCGAGATTATAATTGGACAATTTCTGAAGAATTGTTACTGTCTCATTTATCTAAAATTATTAGGTGCGCAACTAAGTTCTCGCTGTTATTTTGATGATAATGCATCAAAATAACAACGAGAACTTAGTTGCGCACCTAATATATTAAACAAAGAAGTTTATAGTAAAACTGAAAATTTTGTATTCAGTAAATAAGATTTTGTCATTTCAAATAAAACTTTGACATGTGTAATTTCATTGCTGCTTGTGCTTATTATTGTAATTATAAATAATTATTAATTCTTTGATCTATTGTAACTATACCTTAATGTAAACAGTTTGACATATGTAGTTTAACGTGAGAAATAAAATGCTACATAAAACGAAATCAAAATACGTATATAACAACACAGTATAATGAAATGTCCATATTTCCTGATGATCTCCAAGCAAGTGATACATTGATAGACACAACGGTATAGCAATAAGAAAGTACCATATCATTTGTAGTAACATTTGTACTTTGAATATTACATTTAGTTTGCATGATATAAGACACAGTTGTAGATGGACGTACCTGTAAATAAATTATAATTGTTATAATTAATTAAACCGAGAGACATACTAAGCAAAATATATTTTTAACGTAGAATTCAATATAACTTTATAAATAATAATAGTGTTATAACTTGCGGTTCACAATATGTGATTATTTCACTGAAACTAATTATTCTTGTACATAGAGGAAAGCCCCCTGTTATGAGATAGGAGCCTAATATGAGATAGCGGCGTTTCTGCTAAACTAATAAACACTATCTATTGATTCTATCATGAATTTATTGAAAAGTATTTAATAAAAAATTCATTAGTAGATCATGTAATCATTGTAAAAAAAGATTTTAGAATTTGGATGTCTTCAAGTTTCATTAGATGAGCATTTAAACCTTGTTTATTATTTAATAAATAAATATTTGACAATTCTTCATGTAGTAATAGAATAAGGTCGTAATAATAGAAAAATACGGGATATAGGTGTACAAAAAAGTTCTAAGCTTTAGATTTGATACAACCGAAATAACAATTTAAATTTTATATATCTTCCCGCCCTTTTGCGGTTTTAAAGCGTTAACATTTGGCCTTCTAAAATGCCATACGATTTGGCGTTTGATGCACATAACCTCAAAAATCAGTAGTGTTCACGATGGCAATAACAAAAGAGCA